ATAGTTTGGACGTGTACATTTTATAAAATTTGTTTAAAATTTATTTAAAAACTTAATTTAAGTATTTTTAATAAAATTTTAAACTTATAAGAAAAAATAATATTTTTAAAATAAGTGTCTTTTAAACTTCATCAAATGTCCTCTTTATTTTTTTATATTTAATAGTAATTTTTAAAAAGTGATAGAAAAAATTTAAATATATTGATATTAAAAATATTAGTATGTTTAATTAAAATCATTAAATTTATAAAATATAATGTGCACTCTAATTTTATGAAATTTATAATATAATTATTATTGAATATTTGATATTTTTAATTTTAATATATCTTTATTTTTTAAAATTTATAAACTATAATTTATTATAAAAATTATATTTTAAAGAAATAGTTTGAAAAAAATAATAAATAATAGTTATTGCTAGTTATCAATTGCATTGACAAATCAGTAAATCACGGCTTAATACTGACCAATGTCAGTAATTAATACTGTTGCATTAAATACCAAATATATATTTTAAAATAATTAATTATTTTACTGTTTAAATTGTAAAATTTAAAAAAATTTCAAGAAAAAAAATTTATTAATTTTTTTATATTCGGTAACGGTACATAAAAAGAAAAAAAAGAAAAATTGTTTCAATAGTTATTTTTTTATTTGTAAAATTTAAATTTAAAATTTTATTTAAAAAAAATTAAACTCTTTCCACTCATATGTCTATTTGAGAAGACTTGCAATTATTATCTAATGCTCTTAATTTAATGTACAAACCATTCTTATTTTCAATAGGGATGAAAAAAATTTTAACCTATATTTTAAATATAGATCATATTTAGTTCAATTTTTAAGTATTTCAACTTTTTAATACTATTTATATTTCATAAATTTTAATTTTTTATTAAAAACTTATATTTTTTAATTTTTTTAACCTTAAAAAAATTTTAAACAATAAAAATTCAAATGTTTTAAATCAAAATTTTTTATAAATTCTATTTCTATTCACTTTTTATTATATTTAAAAGTAACTTTTAAATTTTTTTCTCTAATAAAAATTTAAACTTATCACTTATAAATAATTCAAAAAATGCAAAAGTTTAAACAAGTTTCACTAAACATGCCCTTAAAAGATTGTTTTCTGCTGCATAAATTGAACAAGATCAAACACGATTTGTTGAAAATGTCATTTGATATTTCTAAATGTTATTTTCAACTTCTAAATTTCCAAAACTTGCAGCTTCTAAAGTAGATACTTTACTATTAAGTATTAACCTTCCAAACTTGATGAAATTTATCAATTTTTAAATATTTTTATAAATATTTTGTATGATTTTATGATTTGACACTTCTGCAAAAAAATCTTCTTATATAATTTTTACAAAAATATAGCTAATCTGATTCGAATAGAATTTGAATTGACCTAATAACTTTGGTTTAATTTTATTTAATCAAATTAGAAATAAACTTATCTTACAAATCTTGCCATAACTGAAAGGTAGAGATCACTGATGCCTAAACCAATGTTACATGAGTGAACATTAATTATCAAGGAAAAATAAAGAGAGGGACAATGCGGCTCAAGGATGCAATAATCTATTAAACAAGCCAAACGTCTGAGGATGTTCACTGATGGCAATTTCAATTGGCAAATCAACTCTCCCTTCAAATTCTCTTCTATTTGCTTTCTCTGCAAATTAA